AAACATATCCATTAAAGGAACAAAGAGAATAATTTGTATGGTTTAGTCTGGCACAGGGTCATAAGTATGGAGTATCTAGTGAAGACTAAAGTCATATCAGTCACATTGGTGTTTGAGACTAGCTTGTTAACCATTATTACCTCATGGTAAGATGAGAGCCATTAATACTGAGTTTGCTTATCAGTCCTACCTCCCTTAAGTGCCATGTGTGATGAATACTTGGGCGATAATGTACCTTTTTCAATTCATGACTGATTGGAAGATGAATTCCTGCAATAGGCTGCCATAACTTTCTCCAGTAGACTCAGTTTGTCCTGCTATTTAATCCATAGCAGGAGAGAGTAGAGATGGATTCATACCTTTCCTAAGAGTATTTGCATGTAAGTGAATATAACAGACTCAATTAGAAATCAATTTTGACTTTCCAACTTCTGATCTGTTATCCATCACATCACCCACAAATCCAAGCTTACAGCACTTGGTATTCCCAAACAATCACCCTTCTAGGTACTAACCAGGCTCAACATTGCTTAACTTCAGTTATCAGACACAAATCAGTGTTTCAATGTGATATGGTAATGGTAATATTAACCACTTTCTTATAAGGAAACATTTGGTATTTGTTGACCAAGTAGCCAATACTACCATTGGTTGAAATTTATAAAATCTTTCTCATAAAACATTTTTTCAGGAAAATAAGTTTCACAAGTCTAGTAACTGCTATTGTTTTTTCCAATATTGATGGGTGGGTTGGGGTTGGGACTATCCTAAGATTTTATTTGAAGTAATGTAGAATGTTAACATCTTGAGTATGCCATTATTTTCTCTTCGAGTCGTATGTGCTATCCATTTTAGTTGTTGCTGCTGTTGGTAGTCCTCAAGTGATGTGGTTTCTGTTATTTGGTACAGTACAGATTTGAAGATGGTAGGTCTTCACCAAGACCCACATGTTTCACTTGCTCAAAGCCATTTTAACCATTGATCAGAGAAAGTAGTTGTATACAGCTTCTCAATTACTCAATGCATTTTGTGCCATGCATGACATCCATATGAAAGTTTCCATCTGACTCGAGTTAACAGGTTAATGTGTTGGTTTTGCAGCAGTTTTAGGAGGTGGACAAAACTATCTCTAACACAGCTATGTTCAATTTCCTTTTCTCCTATACTAAATTTATTATAACTGATCCATACACCAAGTTAATAAAAGTGTTTAGTATTTACTAATTCTGCTTCCTGAATTTTTTTATGATGGATTCAGGGTATTAGTACCATGACTGTTTTCATTCCGATTTATCAGCAAGTGTTCCATAAAGATTATTTACATTCAGACTAATGTCTTTATCTCTGCTGTTATTAACAGAACATGTTGGTTGTTGTACTCTCTGACCTTCTTCAAGTGTTTGGATAACTTTCAGTGAATTTGAACCTGAACCTCTATTTAATCTAAGAGGATAGATTGTTCTTGTTCCACCATCTATGTCAAGGAATATCACATTTTGTTCTTTTTTAGTACTGCTCACTCATTACTCAGTCTATTTCCACTGAGTCTGAGTCTTTACTACCTAACCCAGAGATTGAACTCATAATTACTTTGTCAAAGTCAAGTTTCATAGGAATTTTCTAATTTCAAAAAGACTGGGGAAACCTGCATACATCTTTTTAAAGATAATTTCATTGCATTCAGCTTAATTATCTAAAGCACATTTCATTGCAGATAATCTCCCCTCATTATCTTTCCTTCAGTCGTAGCTATAATAATAATAATATTAAAAAAGCCTTTGAAGAAAGTGTTTTCTAGCATTAATTATTTAAGAACATCAGATATTGATAAAATATTTCAAGTAATTTTTGATAGCATTGATTATGTTTTATTGTTGTGGTGTTGAGATGCCAAGAAAATTTTTAAAAAGATAAAAATACTTATGTTTAAATGACACTTAAATTAAACATTATCAAAACATAAAACTGAGAATACTTGACACTTATTTAGTTGCAGTGTTGGAAACAAACATTACATTAGTATCAATTCATCAGTTTTAAGTTCAAAGATAACTGAAAACTAACAACTCAAATGGACAAGATTAATAAAATATTAATGTATAAAACTCAATGTAACTATTATGCTTTGACTTTGTGAACAATGACTTACAAAGGTTTTTGATGTAATGGAATAACCTGTCACCTTTGTGAGTGACTACTCTATAGGTAGTAACAACCTATAAGTATCTGTAAGTCAATAGACTATAGAGTCTAGCTGCAACCTGTTCCAGCTAAACAGTCAAACTCTCTGCCTTCGGGCTGAGAGGAACTTGGACGAGGCTTTGCCATAGGGCAGAGTCTCGTTCGGGGAGGTAGACTGCCCCTGAACCCATTTATACGGGTTCAAAAGGGAATATTTTTGGCCAAGCCTACGTGCTCAGAGAACCCACGTTAAACCGGCCTTGTGCCACATGCAACCCTCGTGGGATGGTAGCTAAATATACTAGCTGGGATCTGTTAAGTATGATTCAGACTTACACTAGAACTACTGACCTTCCAATAGTAGCGCTCACTACTGGATTGACTTGTTATGACCTTGTGCATAACTGTTACCTTTATTCTTATTGTACTGGTTTTTTACAATAAACTTTTACTTATTTTATCCACCTTATTTTTCAAGTATATATTCCTATTAGCATGGAATATAACAGTTCTCTCTGAATGATACAAGCCCTCCTGAATCAGTTACAAGGCACATGAAAGAATCCCTATCATTTACATTATTAACCCCAGAATTTAAATCTGGGGTTTATCAGTTATGGTTCTACAGAAAGACAATGGTGCTAAGTTTTCAAGGTTGTAGGTTTCTTGTTAAGGTTTCCTTCTCTGGACAGATGGCTGAGCTGAATGTAAAAGTCTTCTACGTCTTTGAAGGTGTACTTAAAAATATAACTGACCTGATTAGATTAATATGAATATTTCTGGATCACACAACCTGGTCTCACTGCCTAGTACTGAGATATTCTGTTGTTGATGCAATTCAGAGTAAACATAACTTGTGTTACAATAGTTGAATATTTCATTACTAAAATATGAGACCAGGTGCTAATTAATAAATTGCTTTTTTTTTCTTTTTTTCATATTATTTTCTCTATTTTTCTTTTAATGATTTTAAAAGGTAAAATCCATCATGATAATCACTTCTCAACAGGAAATTGTCAAGGGAAGTAAATCTGAATTGCTTATTGAATTAGTTGACATTAAATGGAATTTTAGACTGTAAAATAACATGTAACAATAGAGTTAATTTGATTTTTATGGCTTATCAATTCTTTTCGGGTTTTTTTTAAAGCCAAAACATACAGATGGATGACCTGTTAAAGCCAATTGTCTGTAGATGGGAAGGGATTATTTTTGAGTTATAAACCCACTATTGTAACTACGAGTAGTTATGATCATAATGTAAATACTATAAACATGTATATATGGCATAAATAAATAAAGATATACTTAATATAGATATATTGGTCAAAATAACAAAAATAATAGATTTCTTAGAGCTACTTTCTCACGTATGTGCTAATGTATTGTACTTTATATACTGTACACCTGTCTTTGTTTACAAATGAAAGGCCAGCCACTGCTGTTAAGTGGTCACTTAGAGAATTAATATGATTCATTCCACTAAGCTTGCAAATTTTAAAATACATTGCTGATGATTTGTAATTTTTTTTCCTGCATAACTATTTTTTTTACCTGCAGATTTTGTCATTTGCATCCAAAGTCTGTTGATGGGGGGGGGTCCGTAAATGAGAGGTTTTCTGTATTTTGTGAGTTATTACTTTGTAGTGGACCCCCCTGGAGTATGAGTCTTCTTGTGAGTCCTAGATTATATGCATGCAGCAATTTCCTAAACCAGGTGATTTAGGTTGCCCAACTAGCATCCAGTTGGCAGAACAAAAATAAATGGACACGTAACTCAATATATAACCTGTCCAGGCCCCCTGGTCACAAAGACCAGGATGCCTGTATTTCACCTCCTCCTCTTCCTCCCACTTTCAGTGAGAAGTTACTGGGTTATATGATAAGGGAGTATAATAACAATTACTAGGCCTGCAATTGCACTCAGAATCAAAAAGAAATAAATCCAAAGTTGCTATGAAGTAAAAAAAAAGTATCAGAATGATCCTGAAAAGTATTCAGACTAAGTTCGTAATAGTGAAACAACTAAAAAGACATTAGCTATATTAAATTGAAGGGAGTAGGGCAATGCACTGAAACAAAGGTCAAGGTCATGAAGATATATAACGTCTGAACTTGATCACGTGGATGGAATAGCAAAGGGCTATGATAAATTAAATAATAATCCACATATATAAAATGCAATATATAGACATATAAATACTTATTGCTTGTGTTGCATGCAGATTACCATTGATAAAAATCAGAAAAGCACAGCTATATGCAAATGGATGAAACAGTTAATTTTATTTTCATTTAATTAACCAAAATAAAACACTAAGAATATTACACAAATCATGAACATGGATGTTACCCTTTTCTACATCATAAATGTTCATTATTATTTTTCTGTTGATGTAGAAATAAGAATTATACAATGGCAAAAAGAATATTATTTGTTTAGTTTAGTATTTGATAAGTATTGAACACAAACAATTGATAATCTAGTTTAAGCCATCTCATAAAAAAATAACTTATTTGTTATTTTTTTAACTAACTAGTTATTATTGATAAATGTTTTTTTTTCAGGCTTGTCTAAGCAAATGTGAAATAATTTGTAACTTGAAACTAAAGACAAAAAGATACATATTTTGATAAAGTTCCAATAAAGAACTGATAATTTTTACATTTTATTCATGGAACAGCTTCAAACAGATTAAATTAAAAATGTTAATCATTAGGATAAATATTCTCAGTTACTTGATTAGGTTTGCATTGAGATTAGAGTGTCCAACATTGTTTACATGTGTCAATAATCTGAAACAATAAATTGAACTCACCCAATGTGAAAGGGCATGGCTACAATACACAATAAGTGATACATTAGACAAACAGGATTTTGCAGAACCTGAAATGTTAAGAAAATTATAAAAGATTAAATTCAATATCATTGAAATGATAAATTTGCAACATTTTCAGGTATTATACTTTAGCTCATGCATAAAACAAACAATTCAATAAGCAAATGTCTGTGATAATTTAAATTGATTAATGTATTTTTTAATATCTTCAAAAGACTATTACTATTAAAGATATATATTGTGCCTACATCTTTATATAGATAGATAGATAGATAGATAGATAGATAGATAGATAGATAGATTGATTTCACTATTTTGAAATATATTTTGGTAAGTAGTTTTAGACCACAGTTTTCAATTTGGCATATGGTAAGCTCTTTGTGGTCAGCAATTCTACATATGGTAAGGTCTTTATCACTGAAAATTCTTCATATGGTAACATCTTTGTGGATGGTAATTCTGCCTATGGTAAAATCTTTAGGATTTGTTATTTTGTGAATGGTGTATACATTGTTAATCTGTAATGTGGTTTCAAAATAGTGACTTAATAAAATGGATTAATTAATAAAATTATTTGTGGATAGCTACAATTCTTAAAGATTTCAAAACATATTTTTCAATTGTAAGAATAATCCCTTTTATTGTGAGTGAATATTGTATTAACAATTTTTTAGAGATAATAATGAGTTTTAGTTAGAAGTCCTACTATTTAACCCATAGTTCAAAGGAGAAGAGGTGGATTCCTAACTTTTCCCAACAGTATTTGCAATGTATATGAGTGTAATGAAGTCAACTGGAATTCAAAATTTGCCTTTTGATTTTACATTCCAAACTGTTATCTACTACACCACCCACATATCCAAGCTTAGAACACCTAGTATTTCCAAGCAGTCAGTGTTAAAGTTCAAACAGTAGAGAAGATAATAAGATCAACAAATGATGAAGTTCATAGAATCGCAACAAACTGATATTAAAATGTCAAAAATAAAATAATTTGTTCATGTAATTATGACATTGCATTAAGCAAATACATGTTTTGGATTTATTTATAAATAAGAATATATTGCAATTTGTTTACATAATAAAACTGACATTCCCCTACAAAATAGCTATTATCAATATTTTTTAATAAGGATAGTTATTTTAAGCTGAATAAATCACATGATATTATATTGCTCATATAAATCCATCCTGAAAATTTTAACAACATCTGTTGGTTAACACCAATTTCGTTGGAAAACATTGACTTACATAATAAAATCTAACATCTTATTTTAATTCTGCTTGTCCCTCTTGTAGTTACTATGAATAGATATATGTTAATATATGCCAATACCTAATAAATAATGGATTATTCTGTTTTGATTGCATGGAAAGACATATCAAAGACACCACTTAGTTTCAGTGAGTAAATGAAAGAAAGAAAAAAAGATATTGTTTAATGTCTGTTGTCAATTTTAAATCTTTTTATTTGTACCTCCTTACTTATTAAACTAATAACCAGCATTCATATTTATTATTGCTATTACAATATTTTGTCAAAGTTGTTAAGTTCAAATATTTAACGATGCAATAAGGGAATTTCTACAGATCTTTTATTGATGTAGAACTCCCTATGAGCTTATAAAATCATTAGCTTACGAATAAAGATTTATTAGAAAATTAAAAGAGGAAAATGGTAAAATTTTCACACATAATTCTAGTTGTCTATAATGTTCATAACATCTTGTTGTGAGCTATCTTCCTTGCAATGACAATTTATATATTTACGGTTACCTGTGGAACCTGATAATAAAACTCACTCTTACCATGATATTTAAATGACTGTATCCGTGTGTATTTTCATTGAGAAAAAAAAATAATAATTGTGACTCTAGACAAAGAAAAAAAATAAACCAAGGAAAAGAATTGTTTCATGAATGAAATAACAAAACCTAACTGCCATCTTTTTTCTTTCTTTTCTTTTTTCATTACAAAATCTTTCTTATTTCATTTTGTTAACTTCTATATTAAGTGTGGATAAGATATAATAATATTAGTTAATAATTTAATCCAAATAATTCTGAGTAACGTTGCCATTAGTTTACATTTCTCAAATGCCAGAATTCTATCTTAACTCTGTTTCATTTTTGTAGCAAAGAGGAATTCAAGAATTGTATTAATATTTGTTAATATGGAGGAAAGATGTATGACGCAGTGGAAAAAGTTTTCATCCTTTAGGACTTCATCGACTAGGTTTGTTTACATTGATGTGACTGCACATGTGCATGAACAAGAGATACTGGTAATTTTAAATTTATTTATTTTTTTTATGTGTATTAGGTTTATAATCCAGACAATTTGATTAGATTCGTTTTGTTTTTGTTTCTATCATCTTTGTAATTAAATATCCCACATTGTGATAACAGAAGATCTGCCAATTTAATAACAAAGATGATGGAAACAAAAAGAAAAAGAATCTAAATAAAATTGACTAGATTATAGACCCAAAACATAAAAAAAATTTTTTCAAAAATTAAAATTCTCAGTGTCTTGCATGTGTAGTCACATCAATGGAAGTAAACCTAGTCCAATTAAGTCCTAAGAGATGAAACGTGTCAAACGAAAACTTTTTCCACTTTGTCATACATCTTTCCTCCAAAACTGTTCTTGATATAGAAAAATTTATATATCGTTATCCCATTTGTTAATATACAAACAACTTTATGAATATTCTTTTTTTAATATTTTATTGTAGCCAAATAGGTATTTTATAAGTTTTTCATTTTTAGATTTAAATTTAAGCTGGCTTTTCTTTCCTTTGATGTCATGTGTGACACACACTTGAGTGATCATAGCTCTTTTTAATTTTGACTTAGAAGAAGAATTTCTGGAGTAGGCTGTTGCTACTTTCTGTGCTAGACTGGATGGCAACAAAGGTAATAGAACCTAGTCGGTCTTGCTATTTAACCCATAGCTGGGGATGATGAGAAGATATGGATTCATACTTCTACCAAGGAATGCAATGAACTTGACTAGAATTTGAATTCAACTCTCCAATTTCTTATTCTGAGCCATTATCCATTAGATCCCCTTGCACATCCAAGATTACAGCACCTGGTATTCTCAAGTGGTCACTCATCTAGGTACTGACTAGACTCAATGTTGCTTAACTTCAGTGATTGGATGGGAACAGTGTGTTTTAATGTGGCATTTAAATAAAAAAAGTAAGATATTTTTTCTTTCTTTTCTAAATATAAAACTGAAGTGACAAGAAAAACTTTGCTATCAACAAGATAGATGAGTTTGCAAGTTATCAAAAATGGTAAAATTATCAAAATAAAAAAAAGTTAATAGTCCAAAGGTGTGAGTCTCTTGGTTTTATGAAATAAATTGTTAGAATATCAATAGTAACACTTACTGTAGCGAGGTGAATCAGGGATTAAATCAACAGTAGATGAAGTAATTGTGGCAGTTGATATTGAGGCATTGCTATTGAGAGATTCTTCAGACTGTGTAATTTTTTTCTCAGTAATAGTCCTATTTTGTACAGATTCATCAGGTGAAACAGGTATAACTGCCACCGAAATATTCAAAACTGGAGGTGAGGAACTATTAGATACCGGCATAATCTTTAACCCAAGATAGCAAAATAGAGTAAAGTAATTTAACCATATAAACTTCAACTGACAACAATTTTCTTTAGCATCAAATAATTAAATGTTTATATTTTCTATACTCTAAAGTAAGTTGATAATCTGCCTTGTATAAAAGAATACAAGATCACAAAGCCAATGTTTAATTGGACCATCCAAAAAAAGATAAAGCAGACTTTGACATAATCAAATCTTTGTTATATTGTATCCCATAATGCAGTGCACATATCAATTAATTACTAGGAACCTCAGCAGTAAAAAAAGATGACATTTATGATTGAATGGATGCAATTAAGACAAATTATAGTTTTAAATAGTGTGCTTAAATTAAAAAATCACAAATTTATGTTTATACAGCCTTTGGGCAGTTCTACTCAATAATTATTAGAGTGAAAGTTTGTTTTCTTTAATCTGAATATTCAATATCATAATTAAAACTATTAGGTATTTTTAACAATAGTTCATATGGTGACCAAACAGACCCAGTACTCCTAAGTAGGTCATGCCTCTAAGGGTCAGAACTAAGGTAACCTACTGTTTTTTTCTTTTTTCTTTTTTTTTTGAATACCATGACACTTCAGGACATAGACAATCATGGCTCTCTATAGATTCTTTATTATCTATGTATTGACTTAACTTCCTGGGAAAGACAGTGGAGTGGTTTCCTGTAGCCTTCTTTGTGGTTTGAAATTCACAGTTTTCTTTTTCTTAGGTTGCTAGTCAAAGTTAAAGAACCCAGTCTGCCCTGCTATTCAACCCATAACTGGAGAAAGAAGAGATGGATTTATACTTTTCACTTTGTGTGAAAGTAAATGCAACAGACTTGCCCAGAATTTGAATTTGGCTTGAAGATTCCACTGAGCTGATAATTGTTAGACTACCTACATAGTCCATCTACTCTAGTTTGATTAAATACATAAGAAAAGACATGCCAGATTTTTACAGAGAACAGTGGTGATTTTAAATTTTTTCTAAATTTTTAAAAAGTCATTCATATTTGTTTAAATGCTTTATATTTTTAAATTTGTTTTTTTTTTACTGTACTTGAAAAAAAAATCATTAATTGCTTATTTATATTGGATGTAAATCCTGTAGATTGCTCTGTAAACAATAGGGCCACAGCCTCACAAGACTAGGTGCTGCTGCTATGGTTTCTGTATCAAGTAGTTTTTTATAAGGTGGAGTTGCTAATTCTATACTAAACCAGTTTTAATTTCAGAGGTGTCCTTCTCTTACCAACCAAGACTAGAAAGCTCAGTCTACCTTGCTATTAACCCTTATCTGAGGGAAAGAAGATATGTATTCATACTCATATTATAGGGTTGAAGCCTAGGGCTTCAAAATCTAGGGCACTGTTATTTGGTAGAGTTCTTAGAGATTTTGTGTCGCCAGTCCATCATTTTCAAAGAAGGTTGATCCTGCCAAAATCATCAGATTTCAGTTGTTCAAAGTCTTCTTTAATAATTGATCTTAGAAAGGTGTTGTATATAGTTGACAAGTTTTATATTTCTAAACGGGTTTGGTGCCATGCATGACATCCATATAAAAATCTTGACATCAAAGGCTGATTTTGACTGATCAAAAGAGTTAAAAAAATGAATTGAATTATTTGGATATGTTTTGATTATATTTATTTAGCTTAACATAGTAAGTATTATAATTCTAAAGATGATTACTTGAAGAAAACTTATTTGTCTATATGTGAATAAATTCACTATTTACATTATTCGGACTATTGTCCTCAACCTTGTCGCCATATTTTTTATTACAACATTTTGGCCATTGTACACTCCGGCCTTCAGGTGGTTGGAATGTTGAACTGAATCCTTTATTTTGCTCACTGGGATAGACTGTTCTAGTTCCACGTGCCATGTCTAATGGATGTCAATTATCAGTTATCTCCTGCTTAATTCCCTCTCCAAGTTCTCCACCACCTTAACCAGGTATTGAACTCACACCCTTTTATCCACTGTGCCATGTGTCCTTGAGGACATCTGGGTATGAATTTCTGGGTATTATAAACCTAATGTCTTCAGCAACCGTTTTTTACCAGTGCTCATATTGCAATTTTTGCTGTTATCATTATATGTTTTTTACTTGGTCAGCTCAGGAGTTTTTTGTGGACTAGCATATGTGCTGATTCCTTAAGTTTACGAATTTTCCAATGGTGTTCTTTGTCTATGATCTCAACCTGATCCCACAGATGGTGGTGATCTCCCTTTCTCTCCATATGTGGTCAGCCACAGCTGATTTTTCCACTTCCCCTTATATTACAGCTTTCTGGTGTTCTTGATGCTGCAGAAAAAATATGAAGGGAAGACAGACTGCCCTCTTAAAGTAAAGCTTCAAGAACACCAGAAAGCTATAACATAAGGGGAAGTGGAAAAATCAGGCATGGCTGACCATATATGGAGAGAAAAGGGAGATCACCACCCTCTGGAACACCATTGGAAAATTCAGAAACTTAAGGAATCAGCACATATGCTAGGCCACAAAAATCTCCTGAGCCAACCAAGCGTAGAAATGAATACAATATTGGAACCAGTAATAAGGAGTGCCAGAGAAAAGTGATAACAACAAAAATTGCAATATGAGCTCTGGTAAAAAGGTTGCTGAAGACATTAGGTTTATAATACCCAGAAACTCATAGACAGATGTCCTCAAAGACACATGGCACAGTGGAGAAAGGCGTTAATTAGATCCAGTGACAGGACCCAAAGAGTGTGAGTAAGGCAGTGGAGAAGAATTAAGCAGAAGATAACTGATAATTGACATCCATTAGACATGGCACGTGGAACTAGAACAGTCTACCCCAGTGAGTGAAATAAAGGGTTCAGTTCGACATTCCAGCCACCTGAAGAAGGACAGAGTGTACAATGGCTGAAACGTTGTAATAAAAAATATGACAACAAAGATGAGGACAATAGTCTGAATAATGTAAATAGTGTACATAATACCACATCTCAGAAATATAGACAGATAGTGAATAAATTCATACAACTACTGATGCAAAAATAACAGAAGTGCCTCCAACAGTCTTCATTGGATGATCACCCAGAGGTCAGGCATATTTTTGGATATGAAGCATCATTATCTCTAGCTCAAGGGATACCACCCGACTTGATTGGTTTTCCATCACAATGTGCTAATTTCAAAACCATACAGATGCAACCACTATCTGATAATGGGGCCTCATTTCTGTTGGTGACAGTCTAGTTTAGACAGATTTGTTGAGGTCAAAAAGAACAATAAAATCTTGATATCATTTTTTAAAATGCTAGTGTTCACTCAATATAATGCTCGAGGGCCACTCAAGGTAGAGGATTGCTGAATGAACTGTGTGATAAGAATACAAGAGGAGATGGTTGGAAATGAAGATTGTTAGGATAAGGAGTATAAATAATGATTGACCCTTAATTTGAAGAGATTAAGATTGTAGTATTCAGAGAGTGATTGATTGATTTGCTTTTTATGTCTTATCAACCCTTTTTTAAAGCTGAAACATATTTTGGATTGTTAGAATATTTTTTTTTGCAAGTGAATAATGCATTAACAATTTTTTTCCAGAATAACAAAGCTAAAGTTTAGCTCTGTGATTTACCTGTCATACTCTCAGGTTCTGATGATTTTTCCAGATACAAGTCTTACTATTTAGCCCATCTTTGGTGGGAGATGGATTCATACCTTTCCTCAAAGGCATATAAATAACTGTAACAAACCCAACTTGAAATTAATTAGTGAATAGTTTTTCTTTTCTGGTGTTTCTTTTTTATAGCACATTATTCTCAAGTCAATAAATAATAACAGCAAAAGGCTGAGTTTTTCTGTAATTTATGAATTATGATAAGATGCTGAGAAGCTCTCCTTGCAAAATTGTAATGTTTGCTAATTTTGGGAAGAGTTTCAGGTAAAGAACTTTTTTAATCATTTAATCAGTTAATGATTGATTAAGGATTTTTGTTCTTTATGTCTTATCAACCCTTTGAGAGTTATTTAAAGCTGAAACATATTTTGGATTGTAAAAATAATTCTTTTCTTGCAAGTGAATACTGCATTAACAATTTTTTTTTTAGAATAACAATGATCTTTCCAGATAGAAGACCAATTATTTAACCCGTAGCTGTGGGAATAAGATGGACTCATACTATTAAAGATATTTGTGCAAAAGTGAATGTAACAAACCTGACTAAAATTTGAACTCAGCTCTCTGACTTTTCATTCTGATCTGCTATCCATTACAGTACCTGCACATATGCAGTGTTCAGGGAAGCATCCATGTGGGAGTCTACTCTACAAAGCAACAGTTCTTGGGAAAGGCTGTCTGAGTTAAACTTCTTACTTGCAAATGGAATATGGAGGAAATCTAACATTAATAAGAGATATATTCACTGTCCAGATATATTTTTTACAATTCTCACACAATGTGAACATAGTTTCTTTCCCTAGTTTGATAAATTTTCATATAGTTTTAGCAAATAAACTTTAAATTTGATAGCCTTTTGTTTTAACTGCTAAGCTATCACTCAGATATATTGATATATATATAAACTATAAGCTTGTGTATTTATCAATACATGTTTGAGTGTGTAAATTAATCTTTACTAAGTATAATTTTTTGTTGAATTTTTTAGATAATGAATTATCATTATCATATACTCATGTCCTCATCTTGGTTGTTATTGTTTTGAGTGTTTTACTCTTTGATATCAGTTAGATGTGTCACATTTGGTAATATTCCAGATTCAGTAGAAATGACAAAAAATGTCAAAAGGACAAATTAACACATACAAGATTTCATATAGCATAGACATTAGAATGAAAACAATCTACCTAAACAGATTAAATAAAGGTTTTGCTTTAAAATTTTAGGAAGGTTACAGACATTTGAAGAAGGCTGGAAGGTTGAATGACTGAAATGACATGACTATAACAATCAAGATGAGGACACTTGTAAGAATAAATCAGTGTATAAT